CCCCCCCCAGCCTCTAATGCCTGCTGGGCCCCCTCTGCTGCCAGTCTTGTGGGGCTTAGGTGGCCACCAGCATCTACAGCCCTGTCCTCAATGCCAAGCCCAGCTGGGTCACCAGGAATGTCTAAGTGTTACCCCCTGTGTCCCGAAGCCCCCTACCTGCAGGCTGCCTCGTGGGCAGTACTCGGTGACAATGCAGATGTTGGGGGGGTCAATGCACGCCCCAATGAAGCGGGTCAGGTGGTTGAACTGGATGTCCCGCATCTGGAGGTGGAAGTGGAGCAGAGACAGACTTGAGGTCAGAGGGGATGGGCTGCTGCTCCCACCAGCCTCCACCACTGCCAGGACCAGCCCCTGCACCCTCAAGCAGGGTGCCCGCCCTGGCCCAGACCCCAAACCTACATGTTTCAGCTCAAAGAGCACCTGCCGCGTCAGCTCGATGCGCTTCTTGTTGATGTGCTTGATGGCCACGACGTTACCCTGAGGTGCCAGGGAGGGGGAGAGGTCAGCCAGGTGGATTTGGGGAGGGGAGGAAGGTGCCAGCATCCTGTGGGGTGGGGGTGCAGCCAAGGTGGAGCACCGCAAGAGGGCTGGGGGTTTTGTGGGGAGGGCTCAGCTCCCTGCCTCTGGCACTCACCTTGAAGTGGCCGGTGTTGGCAAAGATCTGGTACTTGCCATGGGTGGTCATCAGGGAGCCGTAGCTGGAGCCACGCTGCAAGGAAGGAGGGTGTAAGGGATTGGGACCCAGGGGAACGGGCTGACAGACACGAATGGAGCAGGGCAGGGACACACAGGAGTGTGCAGGGAATGGTGCAGGACAACCTCTGAAGGGTCAGGACAAGATCTGCATGCATGGCAGGGACGATGAAGAGTACAGGATGAGGTATGGCGTGCTGCAGGTGATGTAGGGGATGGATAAGCTGTGGCTGGGGATTTTGCCACACAGGGGCTTGATGAGGTACAGTGCTCTGTAGGTGATCCAGGGCTCTGTAGGGGATGGAGGGTCATGCAGGGGATGAACAAAGGGTGGCCCTGTAGCGCTACAGCTCTCTATGGAGAGCTATGTAGGGACAAAGGGCTGTGTAGGGGATGGATGCAATAGGGCTGTGGCTCTGTAGGGGACGCTGGGCCATGCAGGGGATCAACAAGGGAGGAGTGTTGTGCAGGGAGGGAGGGCAGTGCAGGGGCAGGGGCAGGAGGAGGAGGAGGGTGCCCCAGGGCCGGCAGCTCTCACCAGGGACAGGGTAAGCCGGCTGCCCGCTGCCTTGTGGTACCGCTCAGGGCTCCCGAATTGCAGCTCATCCCAGCGGATCCTCCAGAGCATGCTGGCGAGCTCCTTCTCCAGCATCAGCTTCCTGGGGGACACATGGAGTCAGGCCCCCACAGCCCCCCTGCCCTGCCCACCCCGATGCCAGGCTGAGGGGTGCCTGGTGCCGAGGCAGAGGCTCCCCCAGCCCCGACTTACCTGAAGATGAGGAAGCTGGAGATGCCAAACATGACAAAGGTGAGGCCGGTGCCCAAAGCCACGATAGCCAGCATGGAGAGGGGGGCTGCAGGCAGGAGGGGGTGTCAGCATGGCCTGGCCGGCCAGG